TAGTTCTATGAGTTCAACTATTTTTAGATTCCATATATAAGTGAGATTTTGTGTTATTTGTCTTTTGGTGCCTGGCTTATTTCACTTAGCATAATGTCCTCCAGGTTCATCCATGTTGTCACAAATAACAGAGTTTCCTTCTTTTATAAGGCTGAATAGTATGCCATTGTGGATATCTGGTAGATCTACCAGATATCCACAATGGCATATGCACATGTACATACATATCAACCAGATTATAAAATGTATTATTAATATAGTGTGGAGATATATCTCATGCAATGCATCCCTATCACTGAAGTGTTGTCAGTTACTTAAAATTCCAGGAAACATTCTTAGATGGTTACTTTTGCATACCTGAAATTAGTATTAATATTAAAATTAGCTATTACATACATTCACTTTTAGGGCCAAATTTACTATGATTCAAAAGAGAAAAATATATCTAGCTAATCTGACATTTTTCTTCCCTACCATACATCATGATTAAGAACTTTTCTATTCATTCTAGTATTTTTGTATAAGGTAGGAATCTATTTTTATACTTCTGATTTGACAGGATATATCATAAAGTTTTGAGTTTTACCTATTTTGCATTTTTGAATGTAGAAACAAAGATTTTTTTTTCAAAATGTATTTACTTCATATAAATCCAAATTTATATGTGGAATGTGTGGAAATTGCCTTAGAAGTGCATTCTCAAAATCTGAGAGGCGATAGTGTTTAACCAGATGCTAGTAAATACAAATATTATTTTTTCAATAGGATAGCATAAAGGTCAACTACTTTTAAAAGTAATTAGTTCATTGAAGTACTTGAAGCTAAAACATTAATAGAGCGAAATGTAAGATTTCATGTGCAATATTTATCTTACTACTACATTGGATGCAAAATGTTTTGTGCATATTGTCATGAAACAGCTAATAGAAAGACTTAAAGATAGCAATAAGCCTTAGTTCAGGGTGCTGTAACAAATATGATAGACTGGGTGGCTTAAACAAACAAACAGAATTTCTCATAATTCAGGATGCTGAGAATGCCAGCAGATTCAATGTCTGGCGAGGCCCCTCTTCCTGGTTTGCAGGTGGCTGCCTTCTTGCTGGGCCCTCACATGGCCGGGAGACAGATCACTTCTCCTGTGTCTCTTCTACGGGCACTAATCTCATCAGAGGGCTCCACCTTCATGACCCTATTACCTCCCCAAAACCCCACCTCCAAATATTATCACATTGGAATCAGGACTTCAATATATGAATTTTGGGGGGACACGCCCATTCAGTCTGTAGCACAACAGAATTGTATTTGTAAGAAATCTAATAATAAATATGTAATGACTATCTGAAGAAAATGAGAAAAAATTACAGACAGAAAAAAGACTTACGACAAGACTATGCTTCTTAGCAGGATACGTCACTAGTGTAAATATGTATATTTTCATGGAATCAATTTGTATGTTAATTACATTCTAGTGCAACATCTAATCAGGATAAATTTTGGAACCTGATAAAGTGTCTTGCAAGTTTATGTAGAAAAATGAGAGATAATAGCTAGAAAGGTGGAGCAGAAAAAGGGGGAGAAATTTCATTAATAGATTTATAATAGTGTATCATTTAAGCTACCCTAACATTATGAAAGTTTATAATTAGAAAAGAAGATGATTGTTAGACATAGTAAGCATATCTGTGATATATTTAACTAACAATGGTGGCGTTTCAGTTTAGTTAGGAAAGCGTAAAAGCTAATAATTTCAGCTGATATGGGCATAGTACTTACTATATGCTAAGCATGGTTAAGCAATTTCCATCTAGTATCATGTTAAATCTTCACCAAACACGAAAATAGTAGGAACTGTTCTATTACTGCTCCCCTTTTGCACCTTGGAGACATGAGGCTCACATTAGGTAAAATAAAATGCCAAAGGACATAGAGCTATGCCACAGAGGAGCTCGAATTCACAGCCAATTCTGTCTGATTTTATAATCCTTGATACCACCATACAATTCTGACTGTATTTATTATGTAAAATGAGTGGATATGAGGCAATTTCATGAAATACATTTCTTATCTGTTCCACATACTAAACATTTTAAAATTATCTTTAACATTTTATAATGTTAAATGTAAATAATGAAGTGATCATCTTTATTGTCCTTGACAATCAGTTTTGAAAAGTCAGAGAAGTTTCTCTTTTGCTTTGATATGTAATAAATTCTCCAAATTTGCTTGTTGAATATTGATGCTGCATAAATATTGGGGTGGTGAAGGCCTTTTTTCTTTTCAATGAAAGAAGAAAATT